GTGACTGACTTGGACCTCAGCAGGGCTGAGGTAAGATACGTGGTATTGGAGAAAACTGTTAGTTTTGCTGGTTTTGATACTTCGTTCTCCTTCCCGGGATTAAGCAGCGGGAGGTATTTACAGGATGCGGCTCGGACAAGCTGGTAGAGTAATATTTCCTTGCGAGGGCTCTGGGTTTGACCCAGAACCTCTTCTCAATATGCCAAAAAGACCCTAGAAATCAAATCGTAACACCGGATCGATAGTTTCTCCCCTCTTTCTGTTCAAAAGGAAGATGTCCAACCCAAATACCTCACCCGAAAGATTAAGGTCCAAAAATCACAGCGGGTCCTGACTGCGTTTCGGATTCCTTTGCCGTAGTGGCTTTAGGCAGTTACTCTCTAGTCTTGGTTTGAAGATCTTTTCCAAAAGAAACAGTTCTGGCAGCTACACGGTCTACCCATCCTGAAGAGCAGTCCTGGTGCTTAAGAGTGATTTGGTTACGTTTTCGTTTTAAGCTAATTAATTTTGTTGACGATCCGATCGGCGGCGTTTCCTGATGCAGATACTATGTGCTGAGTTCAGCTGCCTGCCTAATTTTTGTGTTTAGCATGGTTGGGATAGCTGTGGTTTAAAACCAGCTCCTAATGATTTCAGGATGTCTGAGAGCACGACTTTCCAAAACTACACAACACTGCCACCTAATTCCCATTTCGTGCGTCGGGGGGAGAAGTTTGGAGCACGGGGCCGAAGGGCATCTCGCTCATCTCGCTGTCTTTCTGTCCTGATGGTGTCTTGTCTCTCCTCAGTTCTGTCCGACCAAGGCTGAAGCCCGAAGGAGCGCGGCGAAGATTGCGCTCATGAACTCGGTCTTTAATGAGCATCCCTCCCGGAGGATCACAGATGAGTTCATTGAGAAGAGTGTTTCGGAGGCCCTGGCATCTTTCAACGTAAGGCTTTTCAGTGCCCAGACGGCTGCAGTTGATGGGGACGGATTGACGGGGGGGAAAAAAACCTCAAATCACGGGAAGAGAAGTTTTCTTTTACATCTGGAACTCTTTATGGCAGGTTTTTTTCAGCGACTTCTGAGTATTAAAACTTCTAACTATAGCCCTAATTCTTGTTCTCCTGCTTCCCCTCCCACACCGTCTCACACTCTTCTCGAGTTTGATTGTGCTGCCCTCAGATCAGGCGGGGCAGGATAATACGACTGAGATGTTGATTCATGCGGCCCTTCTGTGACCGGGTTCTCACATTGGCTAGCTTTCTTTAAACCAAACGTTTTCCAGAAACTGTAGTTTCTAGGGGCGGGAGCTTTGCATTCTTCTTTTACCGCTCTAATTATACCTCATCCTGGAGGGAGTTCTTGCTGTGCAGTCACATGGCAGTACCCAGAGTATTGGAGGAGCTTTGAAATCGCCATAATGGGCTGTAGGGAAAAAAAAAAAGAAATCCCGTTTCAAGTGGCGTTGTCAAAAGCAGAGCGGCCTGCCTTGCTCCGTGCGAGCTGTAGCGAACCGTGCGAGTATTCGAGGCTGAATTAGACGGGTAAGCGCGTCTGCCGGCACAAGGCTGAGGTGCGTGAGGCTGCCCTCCTTAATCTGACCTGGAATTGCTGAAGTGGAGAGGATGTAGCAGAAGTGGCAGGTACCAGGGGAGCCCCGCTTGGTCGGGAACTGCAGCTCTTGTCTGAAATGTCTCTTGCAGGGCAATCGAGAGGAAGCCGATAATCCCAACACCGGGATCGGTGCTTTCCGCTTCATGCTGGAATCCAACAAGGGAAAATCAATGCTGGAGTTCCAGGTACCGTTCATAATTTAATTACACGGTTCAAGGGGTGGTTGGTTCGATCTTTCAGCTACACCCGTAGTGCTTTACATTTGAAATAGAAGTGGGGCTTTCCTTTTAGAACCCAACTCAGGATTTGTGGCGCTTTCAGGTGCTGGTACAGCAGCAGAAGACTTTGAATTGGGTTTCTCTCTGCAAACGCTCTTCGATGTTTGCCTGGCACAGTATTGTGAAGGGGTTCTGCATTCTTCTGATCCAGTCTTTTCAGTGACGTGGCGTTTAGATAGCTGGTGCTGGAGGTCCAGACGATGCCTCCGGGTACCTTAACTCACGGCATTAAGCGAGCCGTTTCGTTTGGGGGTTTTATCCTCTCCCGGTAAAATGGGAGAGATCTCGCTTCTCTTAGGAAAGCTGGTGAAGATCTTTCATCCAAAGACATTTTGATTGTGAAATTAGGAGTCTTGATTACTGTCGTTGCATGCCCTCAAACCACAGCATTATCTGAGCAGTCTTTGTATCCTACTGAAATATGCTCGGTCTGTCTCTCGTTACGACAAAACATCTGCGAAGTGAAAAGTACAAACTGCCGAGGGAAACTGCTATAACACTTATCAGTTCTGGCTAATGGAGCAGAAGGAGTCCGTGCAGAGCAGATGACTGAGAACTGAGATTCTTCTGGGCTTTATTCCAGCCTTTCTGAGGAACCTGCTCCTACGAGCAGAGCAGAGCAGAGCAGAGCAGCCAGGTAAACAAGACTGTTCAGAGCACTCTGCATCCTGCGTGTGGTTTGACCTGCGTGTGGGCGCCTTTGGGCGCCCTCCTCGTTGTCCGTCCCCACGCCTACAGAGACATTATGACGGTGCTTTGAGGTTCGTGAATCCTTTTAGTTTAAACTCGGGCTTCAAAAGTAGCTCGAAACGATTCTTGTGCAGACGAGTTGACTTGTAAGTGCACCAGCTGGAAGTGGATTTTTAGAAGAGGAGAAACCGGGCGGTAACTCTGCTCCAGACAGCGAAGCAGGGTTTGGATGCGTCTCAAAGCAGGCGCCTTAAGTCTGTAGTGTCGCTGTACTTGGGGTTCTTCGCTGTCGGCAAACTTTTCCCGAAGCTGACTTCTTGCCTGGCTCGTTTCCCTTGAATGGAAATACTCAGTGGGCGGAAGACCGAAGTGTTTATATTAATGGGCCTGTTTACACAGGGTGACTCCGTTAGGTATATTCCTCAGGCTGTGTTTGTGTTTGGGAAGCCTAACTAGTCGCTGGGAGTTTATGAAGCGGAATTTGTGTGGCCTTGAGAGAGAAATGTTTGCTTGGAAAACATTGGATTGTCACCTGCCCTGGCTGGTGGTTTAGCTTGGAGGCTGCGAGGTGGCAGAGCCTTGCTTGCAGAATCCCGAAATCCCTGGGGCAGGGGGAAGCACTGGCGTCTTTGTCTCCTCTCTAATCCACTCATCTGGCCGGGGGGGTTTTGTCTAGCGGGGCGAGCCGGGCTTTGCCCTTGCATCCTGGCTCCTAGGACGTTGGTGATGCCTTCCGCCTCCCCCGCTTCGGTGGTTTTCTCGTCTTTTTGATAAATCTTAACTCATTCATGCTGGAAGTCCTTTGTTTGTGGACTCGGGAGTTGCGAACGTACTCTGCGGTCCTTGCAATTGCGAAGGACTGGGCGCGATGTCTCAAGGTCCTTCTCGGCTTCTTGTTCCCATAGCTAGAAACTAGCTCGCCTGCTTGCAACGCTGAATCCTCGTCCCCGCGTTTGCTCGCAGCCTGACTGCCTCTTGCCGTTGCAGGAGCTGATGACCGTCTTCCAGCTGTTGCATTGGAACGGCAGCCTCAAAGCCATGCGAGAGAGGCAGTGCTCACGGCAGGTGAGTCCGGCGTCTCGAGCAGTTGTACTCTAGGCGCGTTGGGGTCGCAACAACCTTCTCCTTAAGCTCCCTTAGCTGGCAGGGGAGGCAGGTGCTACTAAGCGCCGTGTGGCCCGTGTAAGCGACTTGTCTTTCCTAAGCTCCCCCACGTATGTCCGTTACCACCAGGAGGTCCTGGCTCACTACTCCCACCGCGCCCTGGATGATGACATAAGGAACCAGATGGCCATGGACTGGGTGAACAGGGAGCAGAACAGCCCAGGGGCCCTTTCCAGAGAGCTGGCTTCGACGGAGAGAGAGCTGGACGAAGCCCGCCTGGCTGGGAAGGAGCTGCGCTTCCATAAGGAGAAGAAAGACATCCTCATGCTGGCAGCGGGCCAGCTGGGGAGCGTGCACTCCTCCAACTGCTAGTCCCTGGCGTGCAAGCCGTTCCACTCCCCCAGGCCTACTAACACCTCCACGCTGACGGGATCCGTCCCGCGTCACGTAAAGCATGTAATGCCTCTTCCAGAATTGTGGCCCGTTTGCACATTTTAAAGGATTTTTTTTTTTTTTTAAAAAAAACAACAAAAAAAGCGCTCCTGTACAGATTTTTAAACCTTTTAATACTTGCTTCTAGACCTACTCCTCAGCCTCCTATCCGCTAGAGAGTTCCTTCTGTCACCTTTTTTTTTTTTAAAGACGGCGTTAAAAATGCAGCCTTTCAGTATTAACACCGAAGACCTCCGCCGCACGTTGGTACTATATAGTCGGCAGTATTCCACGAAATGTAGCACTTCTGCCAGAAAGCTTCTGTTCTTCGGAGCTGATGCATGTCGTGCAGACCTCCTTTTTTTTTTTTCTTTTTTCCTTCTATAGTAGAGGGGGGCGTCTATCGAAACTCCTTCTTGATAAGCTCAGTAATAAAAAAAAGAACAACAAAACACAACCACCGACGCATTCTCTTTAACCCTAGAATGCAAGCTGCGTGGGGGAATACTCCCAAGCATGTAAAAGGGATTTAAAAACCGGGATTTTGTTTTGGCCAGACTTAAGCCTGGGGATCGGTCTACGGAATTCCAGTTCCAAGCTCAGGCGGGATTCGCAGGTACCCCTGCAGCTGTCGGTGGCTGTGGCTGTTCCTGCTCTGGCCTTCCGCTCGTGGGGTGGGACGTAGTTCATTCTCTAACGAATGCACCTAACGACAAACTGACTGCAAGGCCCTGCGGTGCTTAAGGGATTGGACTTGGCAGTTTAATTAGTCGGCACCGGGCTAATTAATCCTGCTCCCCTCCTTTTCGATCCGCTTTGGGTCCTCACCGCATTTAGCCCAGTCTGGCGGTGCGGGATTCCTGTCCCCAGCACCGGCAGTCGGGGGGGGTGTGAAGCGGCCGGATTATTTTGCTGGCAGTGGAGCGCCGGTGGTTTTTTGGCTTCCCCGGCCAAGCTGGGGAGACGCGGATTTTTTTTTTTTTAAATCTTGCAAGAAAGGAGAGATGGACATGCTGTTCTCTCCGGAGCGGCTTCCAAACCAAATGTCAGACTTGGCCTTTTCAAGGAAGGTTTCAAAAGCCTTGCCAGAGTTTCAGAACTCGCTAGCAGTAAGAGGGGAAGCTGCTCAGCTCCTCTCCCCGAAGAGGCTTGCGAGTACCAGTTAACTAGGACTGTGCTTAAGTCTTCATTCACTAGAACTGTGTTCGGGTCTTTGTTCACTAGAACCGCGTTTAATCCTTCGAACCGGAGCACAGATCCAGCCCCAAGCAGCGAAAGCTCCGGCTAGGCTTTGGCTTCGACTCTGCTTTGCTTCTGTCAGCCAGATAAAGGGGTCCGACCCTTCGCCGTGCCTAATTTACGCCGCCCAGCTCCCTCCGCAGGTCCCCCCCCCCCCGGACAACCCTGTCCGGGA